TACCTAATAAAGTGGTCGGTGAGCGTATACATCTCAAACTGTGTAATTTTAGGCACCCCTGGACTAGCCGGAATAAACCTCCCTAGATAACACCAGACCCTCATATAAGTGGACTATGTATTCCACTTATATAGTTGGTGTCAGCAGGAGCTTCAGCACTGAATTACATTTGACAAGCTCACGCAAGACTTTAGAGTGATTCAGAGACTAGAACTAAAACTACAGGAATATGAGATTGGAAAAGAGCCAAACGCTTCACTCCCTTAGGGATCAGCCCTCAAACAAGCGTAAAGCACATAGATTAGATAGTGGGTGATGTAGCACCACAATAATGACTCATCCAGTGCTTACTAACGTTAATCAATGCTGGCAGCAGGGGTGCAGATCCAGCTCTTTAAATGCCATTTACATTGCATATTAAACCTTGAAAGGCTAACCTGGAAGAAAGAAACTGAGAGGGGCACACTGAAATGAAGGACAAAATGACATCAGTTTAGCTATAATGAAATTGTATCTTCACGTGCTTTGTTGCCACCACCCAAAAGCCTGTTTAAACCTTCGATAATGCAATTTCCTGCCAACCTCACTGCCTCAGAGAGATGTGATTTTCACTTGAAACAAGAAAGAATCAGAAACAATGTAATTTTTCAGTGAAATAAAATGGAAAACACAATGCTTTAAGGACACTGCACCAATTGTGAGATTCCCAGTGGACTGACATGGGAGCACCACAAAACAATTCTAAGTCAGGCCTTTACCGGCTTTATTCTGAATCAAAGAACTGCAAAAACAAAAGTTCCCTTTTTGTTTTTCATACTGATGAAACAATTTGTGACAAGGAGACACATCTGTTTGTCAAATGTCTGGTTAAAAAGAAAAAATAAAGCCGTGGGATTTAAAAAATTACAGAATATCATGAACAAGTATTAGTTTGTTAAAAAGTATTAACAAGTAGTATCTGAATAACAAATATGAACAAATATGAATTTGCATATTACACATTTATAACAGAGAGATTTTTTGATACCTTGAGAAGTCATTTATGCCACTGACGGTTGTTTGAATGGCACAGTATTCAATGGACTTGAAATCAGACTTGGGTACAGATTGAAATCTGCCATCCTTCCTCATACCACACTGCAATTGGAGGAAAATGACATCTACAAGAAGGGATCCACACACCGTCCCAAGCCCTCTATTAGAGACAATACTGAGCTGTGACGTGAAAGGAAGATGGGAAAAAATATCCCTGTCCATTTCATGCTTTTAAGAGCCCTTTATAAAAAAAAAGAGAAAAAAGAAAGCTGGCAGTGGTAAAACATCTACTACATGTCCCCTCAATCACCCAATAATCCTGGTAACAATCTTGAACCTCCAAAGGCTCCATTGTAGCTTACTTTTGTGTGCTAGATCTGGCAGCCGAAAAAAAGTAGAGCTTTTACAGGACAGACTTGATCACGAAGTAGAACTGAACTGGTTGAAAGGAAGTACATTCTCTAAATTATATTTTGATAACATTGCTCTGTCCGTTTGAAAACATTTCCCAAAGATTAAATTAGAAAAGGACATGCTAATTGTTCTTTATTATTAGCGCTTTGTAACTTTTTATAAAAAATACGGGGGGAAACCTTTTACTTTTAAAAAGGCATTGAAATAGTTAAACAGCAGCTGTACAGCTAAAAAGGTCATTCTGGTTGTTTCAGAAAAAATCTCTTTCCATCAAATTCTGCAATACACCATTTAATACGCATTTCTATTCAGAGCCTGTAGACCCGGGGACATTACAGAAACGTAATGCCTCATGTTAAAAGCTGTTCTCTGCAACCATTACCCTATAAATCTGTGCATTGCCTTGTTTGATAGAATGTGAAGGGAACAATAAGCTGGAAACTAATGGAACCAGCTGACAGAGATTCACAACTCAAACAATCAAGAAATTAAATGCTAAAATTGCAGCATTGTTGTGTAAAAGGAAAGTTTTCTCATTTCAAAAACATTATTTATAGGTTTGATGGGAAATGTTTTGAATGGACAGTTCCTAAGCTCTATTTTAAGTCTTATTTTGCTTCATATGTGTCACAGTGATACTACAAGGAAATAAGTCAGCATGCTAATGCTCTACAAGACTGAAACATGCAGTGGATTCTGCGAATGCTCAGCAGATGTTGCCACGGCAGAAGTTTTATCATGCCATATGTGCAACTGTCTAGCCCAGTGTGCTTTATTCTGAGACTGACTCAGAGGGGAACTGACTTACCTTTTAACATCCTCACTTTGCAGCCAGTTCCCTCAGCTAAACACACACACACACAACACAACACAAGAACCACAGCCATATACATAAATATAAACAGCCAGTAGAGCTGCACTATATGCTCAAGACCACAGCTGTATCTTCCCAAGATTCAATGAATTTTTATTTGTAGATCCCTAAGCTGCCATCGTGGGCGGTATAGCACAATATAGGAATAAAATCAATTTGTATTATTACTCCAAATGGCATTTTATTTTTGGTAAACAATGTCCCAGATTTATCTGTCACCCATCCAGATTGCTCAAGATGATGCTTTTAGATGTTTGGTTAAAGGTTCATTGTTAAGTGTGACACTTAAAATTGCTGTTAGATGATGCTTACAATCTTCTCAGTTTCTTTTGCCTGTTTGTTTTCTTGTTTATGGAAGCCCTTTTCTGTTTTTCATTATGTAAAAAAAATGTCTTTAAGTACATTTAGAATTATGACTTTTTAAGTTATAAAAAATATTAGACTTTTTATTTGCAATGAATGTATTTACTGTATGTTGCATAAAAAACTACATCTGCACTGTTGTTTACTTTACTGGTTTGCACTCTATCCTCCATATGCCTTGTGCTTTATATATATATTTTTACATTTTACCTTATTTGTATATTTGTATAGTTGTATTTTGTATTTTGTATTTAATCTGTATTTATGTTATCTGTATGCACCCAAGGGTCTGAGAGTAACGCAATTTCAATTCTCTGTGTATGTGCTGTACATGTGGAAGAATTGACAATAAAGCAGACTTGACTTGACTAAATGCATTTGTCTTTGAGAACAAAATCCTATATTGGGTGATGACAAACAATTTTGCCAAAAATTGAAAGATCTCTGCTTTTCGTTGAATATATCAAATCTCCAAGTTATTTTTTTATTTTTTAGATGGATCGAAAGTATTTTAAATATCAAATGGCCAAAAGACATTAAATCAGGCAAAAGCATGCTTTTTCAAAATTTGTAACATTGTAACATGGTTGTGAGTCCAACTTATGAATTAATCACATACAGTATAGCAATTCCCTGAAAAAAAAAACTTTGGCATTTGATTTTTTTTTTGTTTGTTTTTTTGAGGAATTTATTAAAGCAAGGGAATAATCAAAGGCATTCTGGTTTCTGAATGACTGCTCCAATGCCCAGTGTTGCTTGTGACATTTCATGGCTGCTGGAGGTAATCAGTACCTCTTTGCCAAATTAATTTCCTCCACCTCAAGCATTCCAGCTACTCCATGTAGTGTGGTGATATGCATGCTCAACTTCACTCACTGATAATGTGCATTCAAGATATGCAGCAGATATGTGATGAACAAACAAATGGGCAAATTACAATTATTGATCCATTTGTCATACTCTGCATATTCCACAATTCCAGTGTGAACCAACAGCAGCTGATGCTAATCAAAGCACTACAGAAATTGTCGCATGGTGTAAATGCCTTTTTCTCTTTTAAACCCAAAGTGATTATCAATCGGATAGATTGCTTCTGTTCTACAAGTCATTGAAAGTTTGAAGGTAAAAACTTTTTCTTTTAACTGTACAATGAATGTTAGTCCCAGTCACAGAACATGTACAGACAAGCAACCAACTGATCATCCTTTACAGGTCTTCATCAAGTGTTCATAATGGGCAAACAATAAAACACTAGGGGCAATATGAGTAATAAAGAAATGGGTGACTATATTATTGATGTATAACTATCCTAAAATATATCCTCTACAGGTAGCCTACATTGCACTATATAGTATGATCAATTAAAAATCAAATACATTAAAGTGAAGTTATAATTTACAGCTTGTTATTTATCCACACATAAATTAATATTTAAATACACAATTTCAGGAAGGTCCTGTCTTGCACGATGACATTTAAACTGCTTAGTCAATAACTTGCTTTAAGTACTTACACAATTAATTCTAAAATAGCTAGTAGTTCTGTAGTGGATTGTGATAGCAATGTTTAATTAGGTCAGAGCTGAAATGACCGAATTAAAACAAAAAATGGCGGGAACTGATTAAAACACATAAAATGCATTACTGATTACATAAACTCTCTCCTTGCAATCAGATGCAAGAATTTCTTGAAGCAAACAAATAGTGACTGAAAACAATGATCGAACCAAAATCTTGGCAACACCCACAACATTAACACTTTCTATGTGTCCTATAAGCATACACTGTATAATGCACTATAGAGGTCTTCATTTTTATAAAGGTTTTCACATTCATACTGTAAACAACCGTAACCACAATTAATATTTACCTTTCACTATTCACCTTTATAGAGCATTAAACACACACTGTTATTTGTGATCAATGTTTAAGCAAGCATTATAATGTATAACATGTGGTTACAATTATTTACACCATAAATTTGATTATAAGGTGCATCAAAAGGTATTATGAATACAGTCGGCATAAATAGAAAGTGTTACCCAACTACTGTACATGTTGTGCAAATTAAACTTCTCTCTTTAAAAACTTTGCATTTAAATTTGATATGCAGACATTACATTTTCAACATGAAATCAATGGATAACTACATGCATAACATTATTTTAGATTTTCTGAATGGTAAATGATGTAAATTGTATAATTTTAAGATTTCTAAACCATTCAAAACAATTGTGGGCCACAGAGGATCCCTTTTGGAAGATGTCTCAAAAAGGGAATTTCAAACTGGAATTTCAAAAAATTCAAACTTCATCAATGAATAAAATAAGCAGATCCGCATTTTTTATTAAAAAACAAAATCTTCTGATTTTCTTCATTTTTGGCAAATATAAACAGGTTTTCCAAAAAATCTCTCTCTTGTAGCATTATCACAAAGCAGCAGTAGCACCATAGCAGTGTGATACACCTGTAGGAATACAGCAGATGATCAGATGTTCCCATGGTTTATCTTCTCTATACCTCTCCTGCATGTAAAGCTAAGTCCCTCAGGATGAACCAGGTCTACAAAGTTTAAGTCTTCATGGATCCTTCCAAGAAGAACATGTGTGTCATTCAAAACACAAACACACACAAACGTAAACTGCAGACACACCCAAAGTCTTTTTGCTTCCCCGTATAGAGGGAATGTTTATGTGTTCCAGCCAAGTCCGATGTGAGTTGCGAGCAGGTAGCACATGCCTATTGTGCAGGTCATCAGCATCATAGGGAAGCCCAACCTGTGAAATAGAGCACAGCAAGAATTCATGTTACGAGTCCCTACATGAAAGTTCCTATGAAGATGAAAATTGAACATTAACAGAAAGTCTGTAAATCCCACTCGGAGAATTCAATGTAAAGCTTTTGGGAAAAGAATCTGCAACACAGTCTGATGCTTGGTGCTTTTTTTTAATGAAAGACTGTATTCTTGTGTTCCACTGAAAGTTTATCCCTCAGCATCCCTCTCCGTTTCATTCCTCTTTGTTGCTCATATGACGATTTCTGAGCAGTTTTGCATTATTCTCCCTTCTGCAGAGCATTTGTTTATGTCTGTTTATGTGTGTGTGAGAGATTTGATTCTGATCAGCAGGGGTCTCGATGCTCTCCTGCTGAGGAGTGTGGCAGGCACGTTACCCGCTTCATCGAAGTGGTATTAAAGTGTGAGTCTTTAAACATTACGGCAGAGTCAAACGCAGGGGACAACAGCAGTAAAGTATGATCTCCAGGCATTAACGGTGAAGTCAAAGGCTGGAGACGCAATAGGACTGATGATACTTGTCCCCCCATTTAATGTAAGCTGCTTTCCTCAAAGCCGTCAACTCTCAGAGACATGTGGACTGTCCTTGTTGTGTTCGCTTGTAAAAGCATCCATCTGGAGAGTGGAATTACCATTGTAATTACAACTAGACACCGGCCTAATCTCCACACTCGATCGGCATGCATCAGTGCCCTTCTGACCCTCGGTTCAACATGCTGCGTCTCATCTGTCCATGAGGATTATACTACATGCCATCCAACCTCACATATTATCAGTAGAAGAACTGCACATGGACACACTGTTGAGTAAATCAGTACAAAAGAAATCAACAGATTATAAAGAGAAGTGGACAGATTATCAAGGGAACAAGAACAATAGCACCCAGCAAATACACAGAGAACTATATAATCTGTTTTCAAAACAATGTCTGTGCCCAACCCTCCCTTTGTCAAATAATCGAGACCAATATAAATTAGATTCTGTCACTATTAACTCACCCCGATGCCATTTCAAAACTGTGCTATTATTTTTCTGTGAAACACAAAAGGAGAATTTTAAAACATCTATATGTAACTCTTGTTTCATATAACAAAGTTCAAGGTGTTCATGGCTGGAAGACACCAAAAATGACTGGGGGGAAAAAATACAAAGTAGTCCATACCACATCTGTGCAATATTTCATGTCTTTTTAAGCCATATGAGTAAGGAAAAGGCAAAAATCTATGTTCCCTTTAGAGCCGTTAATTTGAATGTTGCTGTGACTGGATTACTGAGACATGCTGAACCAAATCAGGAAATGAATCAATCTTTAGAACCAGTTCTTTTTAATGAATCAGTTGATTGAGTTGACCAATCAAACTCAACATTTTGTTCACGAATCAGAAGGATTTGTTCATGAATCGAAATGATTTGTTCATGAGCTGAAATTGTCTCATTGATTCAATTATCTGGTTTCAGCAGTTCTCCATTTAACAGCTCACCGGAGGGGAAGATTAAGATTATCAGCGAATAATGAATGAAATTAATTAAAAATATTGTACATAAGTCATGTGGACTACATTTGCAGTACTGTACATTTAACAGATTTCTAAGATTCTATATAATTGTCATTATATTATTTTTTAGATCTTAGTCAGGTTAGATGCCATTTTGAACTTGATGCAGATGAAAACGAGGCTGTGAGTGATAGACGTACAGTCTTTACAATAGCTTATGCTGTATATAAACGTCCTAAATCATGTAATTTTCACAACTCACAACTTTCAAAATTGTTTCATGGAGATTTGTCTACTGGAAATGTTGTCATCTAAACAATCAGTAGCCCATGTTGTTTTAGTACAATCCATTAATTGCACTGCACTTCTGTTTGTTTTCATTCTTGTAAAAAATTTAATATGGCGCTACCCTGACTAAAGTCTAAATAATGGCATATGAGTGGAGTTTATGAAAACTTGTTTCGAATTTAAACACTGTACCTTTACATTGCTAATCTGTTTTGTTTTTCCCCACAGCCTGCTGATCTGAGTCCCCTCTTTCTTCTTACAGAACAGTAAAAATCCACATGCAATTTTAATAATTTCTGTTCGGTTTACTTCTCTGATAGTTGAAGACTCAGATCTTGTTTCTGAATAAAAAGTCCCGTAGACAGGGATTCTGGAATGAATAAATGAGTGAAAGAGCTGCTGAGAGGACAAAGCACTTGTGAGGATGAAAGCTCTGGACATCCATTTAGGCCAAGTGCATACCTTCAGCAGCCCAGTGGATACTGACTGAGTGCATGGGTAAATACAGAGCATTTGGGGCATAGAGAAATCACCAAGCTCAGAAGAGCAAGTGGCCACTGATTGAGAGGATGATGGAAAGCAAATGGATGATAAAAAGAGCGAAAAAACATATAAACGGACAAGAGAGAGAGAAACAAGGTTTTCTGATAATGTTGCAAATCTTAAAGTCTTAAACCAAACAACTCTTGTCAAAAAATTACTTAAGTGAATAGTTCAGCCAGTTTACTCAGGCCATCCAAGATGCAGACGAGTTTGTTTCTTCATCAGAACAGATTTGGAGAAATGTAGCATTACATAATTTGCTCACCAATGGATCCTCTGCAGTGAATGGGTGCCGTCAGAATGAGAGTACAAACAGCTGATAAAAAAATTTACAAAAATCCACACAAGTAATCCACATGACTCCAGTCCATTAACGTTTTGTGAATCAAAAAGCTGTGTTTATAATAAACAAATTAATTAATAAAAAGTCCTCTATCCATATTATTGCTTTCTCCAGGGAAAATGTTGCATCTTCATCTGAATCAGAAGAGAAATATGCACAGATAAAATACCATTTACAAGCAAAAACGGTCTAAAACTGTTTTAAAAAGTGGATTATTATGATGTGTTTTAGCTGTTTGAACTCTCATTCTGATGGCTCCCATTTATTGCCATGCCAAGTATTCACTAGTGAACAAGTGATGCAATGCTTACTTTCTCCAAATCTATTTCAATGAACAAACAAACTTAACTGCATCTTGGATGGCCTAACAGTGTGTAACGTTAATTTTTGTGTGAACTATACCTTTAAGCTCAACAGTAGATCATGCTGCTAGCAATTCGGGATCAATTCTCATGAACTGATAAAATGTAGTCCTTAATTGCTGTGCAAGTTGTATTGAAAATGTCTGCCAAATGCATAAATGTACAGCAAAAATGAACTACATCCAGAACTGTAGCTAATTAGTTTGTCCCTTCAATACACAAAAAAAGTGTAAAACTAGGATTTGAAATGAGGAATCAGTGAAAGGGTCAATAAAGAAAGGGGCTGCCAAAGCACACAAATCAAGACAGAAAATTAGACATGAGGGTAATACACTTCCACGTGGAACAGTGTCCTCCAGCACTTCCTGTCTTCTACTTCATCTCTTTCTAACATTCTCTAAAATTAGACTATTGGAAAGCACATATTAAGGCCTATTATGTAAGTATGGCAAAGATCACAGCTGGTCCAGGGAACAAACCAGGTGTTTCGTATCCAGAAGGCAGGTGGGGAGGCTAAATGCTGGATTGCAGAAGGAACAGGTGTGTATTATCTGTATAAGGCATTTGTGTGACATACATCAAAGCAGATGCACGTGCCACGGGTGTGAGGGCAGGTCAGGTGGCTAATGCACAATTTGAGTGAAGTGAATGAAGCAGCCAGATGCCCGATTCATAAGTAGTGAAGTGGACAAATCGATGTGCACCGAAACACAGGGTTGCCAGGGTGTGAGCTGTACAACCTGAAAAGCGGCTCCACATGTGGTTTGTTAAACTGGCTGAATAAATAGCACATTAAATGGCACTAAGTACTGCATAAACCATTCTAAAATGAAAGTCATGCTTTTTTCTCTAATGGCCTAATGAAAGGAAGAGTAATGTGAATAAAATTCTTACAAAGGTGATACAAGTCCATTATGACTGTTTGGAGGACAAAGATGACTCCAAAATGCATACTGAGGCAGTCTTTCAAGCTATTCAATGCATCACATTCACATTTATTGTTTTATCTAAAGTGTCACAATGATCTTTTTTTATACTACAAGGACAATCAGAGTCAGTAACCTGAGTTTAAATACCTTGCTCAAGGGCACAAGGATGGCAACTCATTAATTGTGCCATCTTGAGTTTAATTTTACAATGTTTCAATTACAAGCTCATATATTTTACCACTTCTACCATCACAACACCTTTATACATGATAAAAATAGTTGATCACACTTTATTTTAAGGTCAAATTCTCGCTATTAACAAACCATTAACTATGACTTTTGCCTCAATAAATGCTTATTACTTGCTTCTTATTAATAGTTATTAAGGTAGTTGTTAAATGTAAGTATTGAGTAGGATTAGGGATGTAGAATATGGGCTTATAAGCACTAATAAAAGGCCAGTTTTGAGTTAAAACCCTTGCAGTGCAAAACACAATGTGAGATGCAATAGGCAAATGCTGTAAGGTCAGTCTGATCTCATAAGAATTTCTAGTAATATATAACATGTACACATGCATTTTTGTATGCTTGGATATTTGCTGAAATATGTAACAGTAAGATACAATTGTCTAAGAGTTCCACAGCATGTTAATGGGGTTCAAAGTTAAAACCTTTGAATTATAAGCTCAGATCTTTACCACTAAATCATAACACGCATATGGATGACCTTGGGGAAAAATCAGTTTTGAGTTGAGGGAAGAAATATGATCCTTTTATTCATGTTGTCCACCCTTCCTTGCTCAAGGCTATCGACTATGTGGCACATTTTGTATTAAAAACCCTCGACATCTCAAACATGTGATGAGATCTGAACAGCTATCTGCCACAATCTCACTCACTATCACTACAAGATTGCTGATGTACACAACATTTCCTTACGACTGTGAAAACCCATCTCATGTGGCTCAGAAAGAATCAGAATGCCATTTTTTTGTTATAAGTGGAGAAAAAGATAGGAAAGC